CCACAGGGTCCTCGCTCCGCTACCCCCGACCATGCGCGGTTGCCTTTACCGCCTAGAAACAATGGAAGTGCCTTCCTCGCCTGGTGAGCCAATGAGCTTATCATGTGTTACAGAGGCGCAGGACCTAAAAGCTCTTTCCACTTTGCTTGTCACTCAACTACAACAGCCGTTCTCACCCTAGGCTGCGTGGCATCAGGGAAACTGAAGACCCCAAGCTCGTGACGCAAGCCAGGCTAATGAAATCAGAGTATCTTAGGGCAGGGCGTGTTTTCAGAGATTCCCAGGATAGTCTAATATGATACCAAGGACCACTGATCTGGAGTAAATGTTAACTGATATTGAAGAAACATCTTTTCAATATAAGTCAACATAAAGTGAACAATGACATGTTTGGTGCCTAGTCAATGTGAGGTCGACAAAGAAGATTAAGATTGAAAAGGAAATGCAGAATTGAAATTAAAGCAATAGGTCAGTTTCAAACAGCTATCTATAGATTTGTTTTTGTACATTCAATCTAGTATCAAAATATATCTTAATGCATTCTGATTTATTTGTGGGAGACCATGAAACTGAGAACATTATTTGATTTTTTTCCTTTATACTTTAATTCACCTTGCATATGCAGACATCAAGCTCATCAAATTAAAGTGATTAAAACCAATGTATAACAGCAATTATTAAAATTTTGTGGTTATGCCCTATATAGCTACTAATCTGACCCACTTACAAGTCGGAATTTTTTAAAAAATCATTCCTTGGTTTATAAAGCACCCCATTTTTATATGGGGCAAAAATATTGAAAATAAAAATCTGGTCCTAAAAAGTTATGATAGTGGCTTTGACCTTATAAATGGCCTTATTAATGGTTAAAGTGACCATCTGAAGGTTAGACTGTGTGATATTGCAGAGAAGCAACTCAGTCATAAAAATATGATTTGAAAATAATACAGTGGTAGAATGTAAAAGAGGTCTATTTGCAGATGTATTCCACACTCCGGATATTGTCATAATATATACAGTAGCACTTAACTGATTACAGCAAAATATTTTAAATATATTTATATGGAAAAAATTGTTATATATTTTATTTCCTTAAAAATTATTTTAAAATATCTACAGTGTATGACATTAAAAGAAATAAGAATTTAAAAATGACTTTTTGTTAAACTGCATATTATGTAACCAAATTTTACATTCTCAAACTGCTTAATGTTTTTGAGTGATTTCTGCAAATGATACCCAAAGCTCTGAGTATCACAACTCTTACATACAAGGAACATTAGCAGAGTATTCTTCTGATCACTGTCTGTTAAATAAAATATGCAATATAATTTACTTTAGCATAAAATTATGAAATAAAGTAAAAGAATGCATACATTCTTGACAGTATAAGGATTATAATCTATTCTAAGAGAATTAAAATACAGTGATGCAGTGATTTATATTAGAATCTAATCTCAAACTCACTTTTCCTGACCATCTGTCTTGAAGAATAAAACTATTAGTAACAAAAGCTTACTTGTAACATGGACATTTATATTCCCTAAATATTTCAGTTTTATAATATGTAATTTCAAGAATGCCTAGAAGCTAAAGAATGGCATATTTTTTAAAAAAATCTTCATAAGAAAAACAACTAAGCAAAAATTAAGGCATGTTAATAATGTACATATGTAATTGTTTATGCTTGGAAGAGTGTATTTTTTAATATTGCCAACCATCTTGAAGACTTTCACAGATTTGTCAGATTCTTGCTGTATGTCAAAAACATTATTTAGAATAAAACTGCAAAATCCAGAGAAGAATTACTGTCATAATTTTTGCTACTTGAATGCTATAGTCTAAATGATATATGCAGATGTTCTTGTTCTTAATTCCCAGATAAAAGTGTATGTTTATTTTAAAAATTAAACCAGCCATCTCTAAGAACATTAAAAAATATTCTTGGGCATAAACGATTTCTATTATGTATTGCAAATAAACCTTTACTAAAGTAAATCCAAGCTATGTTTGATCTCCAATGACTACAGGTCCAAAGAAATACGATTTGATTAAGTCAATATTAAGGTTTGTTTTTTTTTCAGTATAATGGGCCAAAAGTCCCTTAAATCAAGTAGAATAAAAATTAAATTTAATCCATTTTAATTGCATACATATATGGAATGTGGCATTTTTTTAAATGGGAGCAATTATAAAACTAGAAGGCAATAACATGTCCTAACTTTTAATGTTTAGAAGTCACTATATTAATCATGTAATTATATGTGGGTATTATAAAGTTAACATATTTCCTCTAAAATGTGAATTCTAATTATTTGTATAACTAATATTATAGCACATATCCTATATGTGAATATAAACATATTAATAAACTATTAAATTAGATTTTTTTCATGAATATATTACCAATTCTGGAAATATAATGCATTTACTTTTAATGTAGCCTAAGACTTGTCATTAACCTTAAAATGTAGAAAATTTTGCATGAACTATATATCTTGAACATTGCCCCTGAAGATAAAACATCATTTCATAACTATAAGTATGTCTGAAAGAAGTAAAAGTGTTCAGAAAGAAACTCAGATACATTCTTCAAAGACCACCAATAGCATTTTAAGTCAAGTAATATACTTTGTATGTGGATGTGATTGCAGTTTTGCAGCATCATAAAGAAGCTGTATGTTAAGCTAAGGAGCTAATCCACAGATTCATAAGTTATCAACCAAGAACACACACTGAACACACCTCTCCCCGGCACCTAAAGTTTGAAACTGTGTGAAAACAGTCATCCTGGAATAAATGTCAAGTGTTTCCAACTGACAACCAACCAACCAAAAAATAGCTCAAGGCATCACAAGTAATAAATCCAGTGTTGTGGAGATGAAAAACTCAAATGTCTGTGTTTACTTTTCAGTATGAAGAAATATTTCTAAAAGGCATTAGGATTTTTTAAATGTGCTTTTGTGTATATAGCTCACAGTGACTACTTTATATGAAAACACAATCCAGAAGCAGTTCATAACATTACATATTCATTTAACCTACACTATACCTTGTAGCTATGATGATATAAGTATGAAGTTGATAACTATATCAGGTCAAGAGAAAACTCTGTATCTATTTATATATACATATATGTATAGATATTTATGTGAATATTCAAATAAAATAAATTTGACAGACTTATTTAAGAATATTCTGTAGTCTACAATGTAGACTACCTTGTAAATACTGAGCCTATGCAAACTGAAGTAACTAGAAATTTCTATGAGAGTTTACATTCAAGGAAGCAAAAAAATTCAAATTATTACAAGAGATCACTTTAAACATAAATATACTGAAACCTTTGCAAGTTTTTTACTGGTAGTAAAATTAGTAGACAGATCCATTTCCTTGTAATTCTGAGGAAACATTATCTTGTCAAAATAAATAACTATGCAGTAAATATACTAGTCATTCATTAGTAACGTCTACCATTAAGATTAATTCCCAGGCATATGGTTAAGAAGAATATATAAAAATCTTTTAAGATCCATTTATCTAATGAAGCAGCATTCTAAACTAATGCTGCAAATGCAATATCATTACTTGCAAAGAAGATACGTTTCTGGTCTTAAAGAATGTTGGCAAAGCAAGCTTAGTTTCAGTTTAGCTTAGTTGTCAGAAGCACAACTAATCAATCCAAGCTAGAATACAGCCCTCGAACTGTGCTCAATTGAAGCAGGTATCCCTTAGGCCAGTTCTCCTGTGAAAGCATCACAAGAACCCTCTGATCCATACTGCCCTTGACCACACTTTTCCAGCAAGTGAGCCAAAAGAGGCTCAGTTGTTGCGTTCCTTGGGGGAGGTTCGGGGTGTGATGAAGAGAAAGGTAGACAATATGGCGTATCATTTCTTTTGAAAAGCAATACTATTTTATTGCTTAAGAAATTTTATTTTATTTTAATTTGTTTTATTGTTTAATAAATTACCTTTGGAACAAAACATCAAGGTTTGTTGAGATTCTGCCATCATTTCTTCCCCTACTAAAAGGTCACTGCAGTATCTTCATCTTCAACGGAGCCCTTGAGCAAATCTCGTTTCAGCACCATGGACAGCAACACTCCTGCTAGGACAGGCGCCCAGGGTCACATTTGCCATTTCTTAAGAAACTTGCATACACTACTCCTTTGTGAACCAGCAAGTTTACAGCCATTATTATATTCGACAGGAAGGGGCTGAAGATAATACATGTTATCAATGAGTTCAGTATTTTTTAGTTATGGCGTTAAGCATTTGCCAATTAGTACTTCCTGAGAGCATCCTGAAAATTAAAGCTAATTACATAAGGTGACTAATAAATAATCTAACACTGATCAGTTATCACCAGATACGTAATCAAAATTTTCTACTCATACTGAGCCTCTGATCAATAACTATACACATTTCAAAGAGAAAACAAGAAACTCATGTGAGTAAATACGCTTAGGTAGGCCCCCAAACTTTCGAAACAACCACTACTCCTCCTGGAAAACACGTAAAACGCTTTTAGTTCTTCCCACATAAACAATCACAAACACTTTCTCTTGTCCCTTTGGCCAACCAGCTTAATTATGTCACTATCAGAGACTTCATGTGTAAGGTCCATAAGCCAAACCACACAAGGCCTGTCTTAGTCTGTTCTGACTTCAGCTGTGGTCACCAGTATGCAGTCCCATCACAGTCTTCCTCACAAGCTTCATTCAGATTACATTAAAAAAAAAAAAGGTGGCAGAATCTGAACCAACTCCGTAGCTTTAAGAGATAGTTAAAGCACTGGCTTTATCATCTCATAAGACCAGAGTCCTCCTGATCTTCCAAGGATTCTCAGAAGGCACGGATCCACCAGCAATTCACAAGAGAGTCCCAAGTCAGGCAGCAGGTCAGGCGCTTACAACCACAAAAGCACTGGTCGAGTAACAAAACCAGAGTCAGAAAGCGACTTTAAAACTCTAGAAGACACCTCCACCCAACACACACACAGAGATAACAGCGCGAAGAAGGGGGGAAAAATCCACGGGTTCCTACCTTACAGTCCTCAGGACACGATTTCACCGAGTACTCCTCTGATTGTAAGTATTTATGCAGCACGCTTTCAAACTCTTCGTATTTCTCCTGAGCGTGGTGGTCGTAGTCTTGGTAAGCCTCGACGCACTGTCTGCAAGTGGTCATCTCACCACCCTCCTTGAGCACCACATCCAGACTACAGTTCAAAGTGTTGGGACTGGACAACCCGGAGAACAACTCCCAAAGTGTGTAGGAATTACAAAACGAAAGGTAAAAATCCGACAAGTTCCAGAGCGGAGCTGGCTGCGGCGGGCCCCGGGTCTGCTGCCGCTGCTCCCCGCGGGCCGCCGCCCCCCGACTCCAGTTTCTGGCGCACACGGCGTCCGCGCTCTCCACCGTGAAGCACTGGCCCGAGGAGGCGCCCTGCGGGTAACAAGTCTCCAGGCGCCACGCGGGTCTGGCAGAGTTTCCTGGAAGAAGAGCCTTGCCCCGGCTGTCGGAGCCTCGGCCGCCCTTGCCGCCGCCGCCCGGGGAGGGGGGCAGGGTGGGGGACGGGGAGGCGGAGAGGAGTCTGTGAGCCTGGGCGGCGGGCGAGGGCTCCCCCATGCTCGCCAGGAGCGCGGGCCAGGACGGCTCGTGCTGCCGCTGCCGCTGCCGCTGCTCCTGCCGCTGCCGCTGCTGCCGCTGCTGCTGCTGCTGCTGCTCCTTATCCCGGGCGCGGGTCAGCTTGGCCTCGGCGCAGAACCACAAGTGATCAGAGAGCAGGACTGTGAAAAACAAGAGAGAGGCCAGAGACAGTCGCCATTTCTGAGCCCTCTCCGAATCGACGAACGGCTTCTCGTTCTCCCGGGGTGCTGCCAACCAGATTTTTAATCCGTCGTCATACTGCCGACACATCCAAGCACCCCTGGTCATATTTTGGGAGCGCACAGCCCTGGCCGACTCCACCGCGAGGGCTCCGGTGCCGGTGTCACCACAATATGCATTGACTTAGGGGTTCGATTGCCTTCTCCCCTCCTCCCTTTCCTCTCTCTCTCCCTCGCTCCTCTCGCTCTTTGCCTACATCAATTACCAGGCTTCGGGGGGAGGCAGGACTCGTTTCCGACCTAAGCATCCGCCGACCCCATCCTCTGTCGAGTGGGAAACAATGCAGAGACGGGGAGGCAGGGGGGAGAGGGTCGCTCGGAGGCGGCGGCGGGCTGTGGCCGGCGGCGGGCCGGGTGCAGGAGGTGACGGCGGAGGTGGCGGGGTGGCGGCGCCTGTCAGCCGGGCACGGGCAGGGCGCGGGTCCCCATGGCCCCGCGGAGGACGGCCCGCTCTCCCCGGCCAGGGGCACGCCGCGTCTCCGCTGCCCACGGACTGCGGCCGGACCGCCTCGCCGGCGCCTCCTCCCCACCCCCCGCCCGCTGCTCCTTCCTCGCCGGCTCCTTCTTCGGCTCCTCCGGCGGCTACTTCTCGCTCGCTCTGCTCGAGTCCGGAGCCTGGGCGGCCGCCGGCAAGGCGCTCCCGCCCCCCCACCCCCCAGCCCGCGCTCCGGCCGCCGCCGCCGCCGCCGCCGCTGCCGCAGGTCCGCCCGCGGGCGCCGGGCTCCGACTGCTGACGCCGCCTCCCCCGGACCTCGGGGCTGAATCGCCTGCGCTGGGCCTCCCGAGAGCCACAGTCATCTTCAGTCCCCGGCTAAGTTGCCGCCATCTTCGTCCTGGAGAAGCACTTTTTGGGGGGGAGCGCCGGCTTGTGCGTCATCTCCTCCTCCCGCGCCGCGCTCGCTCCCTCCTGGCGCATTGGCACCGGGCTCGGCCCGGCGGAGGGGGAGGCGAGGGCGCCGGGGGTCCGGGGGGTGGGCGGGGGGAGCCCGACTGGGCCCGCAGGCCGGCCTGGGCGGCTGCGCGCTGACGCCCGCCCTGCCTTGCCGTCCCCCCGCCCACCCCCGCCACCTTTGGTTTTTTTCTGTTATTACTGATAAAAGTCAGACTGCGGACGGCAAGGTTTGAGGATGCCTGCTGAATTTCTTCGGCACCTCCTGCTCCCTCTCGGACTCCGGGAAAAAGTCCGAGATGCGGCGGGTGGGCAGAGGCTTCTAGCCGGCGAGGGTCTGGATGTTGCCTCCTTAACTAGACAATGAGCGTGGGCTTCCGATGAGAGGCTGCGGGCACGGGAGGAAACCTGAATTGGCTGGCGGGGGGCAGAGGAGGGACATCTGATCTCTTTGCCTGTGTCTCTGGATCCCTGGACAACTAGAAATCAACAGCTTCCAGTGCATTATCTTGTCAGATGATTTCAGTATATGGCAGGGGTGATGCGTGTGGCATCTATATCCTTAGCTGTATGTAGGACAGCGACATTTTTCATAAAGTAAAAGGAAATTAGAAGTGGCCACATAGAGTATTAGAGAAAAATACTAGGACCTCGCCTTCCAGGCTTCACTGAGTAGCCCACCGTTTCGAGTTCCAATCCTTCCGACCTCGGAGGATTCCTCGTCGGACCTGGAGCATCCCAAGCTCCTGCGACCCCCACTCGGAAGACGTGCGCCCAGCCCCCACTGAGCCGCGCTCTGCCGTCGCCCAGGACCTCCGCAGCACCGGGCCGCCAGGCTGCCCTGATGGGTGGCAGCCGCAGCAACCCGAGCCTCTGGTGCCCCTTAGCGTTGGCTCTTGGACTTCCGAGAAGGACAAGCCTGTCACGCTAGGAAAGTCGGGGGTCCTCTCGACCCCGCCTCATGCGGGTCAGGGCGGTGGGCAAAAAGCAGTCTCCTTTCCTGTGAAGACCGTGCCCACTCCGCCCCTCACGCCCGCCGAAGCTGCGAGGGCAGGAGACGGCGCCGGAGCCAGCGCCTTCCCGGGGCACGCGGCCTGAGCGCAGCAGAGGAGAGCGGTGTGCCCCACCGAGCACTCACTGTGGCAAGCGCCTTCCCGCTTCCGAGTGCCTGCTCTTCTGTAGGCTGCGCGCTCACGCGAGCAGTGTTAGGGTGCCGTCGTTCTAAGTCTGCTGAGAACCCCAAGGACGGATCATCCGCATTCGTATTCTTTTTAGAGGTGCTGTGAGTGTTGGCACTGAGCAAAGTGGATATTTTTTAAAAAGCAAGTTGCAAAAGATAATTGGCAAGATTCGACCAACTGGTCCTTTCTACAGCATAGTAGGGTATATATTAATACTAAATTTTACCCATGTAAATGGAAAGTTTCTAAAAACTATGTGCAGTGGCCATCAAAGCTTGGTGCAATTTGACAGCTGGTTGATCCAAAAGTGTCATATAATGTTTGAGAACACAACCTATGTTAAGTATACCATTCTGGTACTTTGGCTTTTAGTGTGTTGAATTGTAACTCCATGAAAGGTCTAGAAACTAAAATATATACTTTCTATGGCAGGTTTATCCTTACCTTATAGCATCTTTAAATAAGCAAATTTCCAGGTTCTGTTGAAAACTTAACATGAAAAAAAAAACATTTTATCTGAGCTTTGTATAGAAAGCAGAAGGTGAGGAAATAATCTTTTCAATTCTTCTCTTTTGACATTGAATAAAATATTTTTCTCTCAACCAGTGATGTGGATAAAGATATCCTTTGGAAAAAATCTCTTTAAATTTTAGAAAGCATTTTGTTTGTCTTCTACCCTCTCATCATGATTAATTTTTTCCTAAACGTAAAACTTCAATCCACTTAAACCAAATCATATTTAAATATAAGATAAAGTCTGCTTGTAGAAGTAAGTGAGTATATGGGCGTGGCATTTTCTATTGTATAAATAAATACATGCGGAAGGTAATATCAGAAGTCTCTATTTCTTGATAAACATTCTACAGAATATGAAAGTGAACACAGCATACTCTAAATCCTGAAATGATTCTCTCTCCCTTTGTTTTGAAATTGTTGGCCCTTTGTGACAAAATACAGAGTGTGATAATCCAAGGCCTTTCTTTCTATAAACAGAAAGTTGTTGTGTTTTTTTGCTTTTTTATTTTTTATTTTTTTTGCTTAGCTATCTTTCTTTCTGTCCAGATGTAGTTGTTTAATACCCGGGTTATAGGATTTAATTTCATATTTCTTTCTCTTACCTACCCCCTTCATTCTTCTTCACCTTGTTTCTTCCTAATCTGAAGATGCTTCTCTGTTTATATATATTTTTATCTCTACTGTGCAAGACTGAAAGCTCAGAAAATCCTTGGCTAAGGAAGTCCACACAGGGAGGCTCACATAGAAAGTTCACAGGCACTCTAGACTGAGTTTCAGAACACAAAGATGATCTGAGCTCAGGTGACTGGCTTTTTAACCAGTTAGAGGGAATTCCACCAGAGCCCTTCTGCCACCCCAAACGGGTTAGTTCAGTTCAGTTCAGTCGCTCAGTCATGTCTGACTCTTTGCGACCCCATGAATCGCAGCACGCCAGGCCTCCCTGTCCATCACAAACTCCCGGAGTTCACTCAAACTCATGCCCATCGAGTCGGTGACGCCATCCAGCCATCTCATCCTCTGTCGTCCCCTTCTCCTCCTGCCCCCAATCCCTCCCAGCATCAGGGTCTTTTCCAATGAGTCAACTCTTCGCATGAGGTGGCCAAAAGTATTGGAGTTTCAGCTTCAGCATCAGTCCTTCCAATGAACACCCAGGACTGATCTCCTTTAGGATGGACTGGTTGGATCTTCTTGCAGTCCAAGGGACTCTCAAGAGTCTTCTCCAACACCACAGTTCAAAAGCATCAATTTTTTGGCACTCAGCTTTCCTCACAGTCCAACTCTCACATCCATACATGACCAGTGGAAAAACCATAGCCTTGACCAGATGGACCTTTGTTGGCAAAATAATGTCTCTGCTCTTTAATCTGCTATTTAGGTTGGTGTAACTTTCCTTCCAAGGAGTAACCGTCTTTTAATTTCATGGCTGCAGTCACCATCTACAGTGATTTTGGAGCCCAAAAAAATAGTCTGACACCGTTTCCACTCTCTCCCCATCTACTTCCCATGAAGTAATGGGACCAGATGCCATGATCTTAGTTTTCTGAATGTTGAGCTTTAAGCCAACTTTTTCACTCTTCTCTTTCACTTTCATCAAGAGGCTTTTTAGTTCATCTTCAATTTCTGCCATAAGGGTGGTGTCATCTGCATATCTGAGGTTATTGATATTTCTTCCGGCAATCTTGATTCACAGAGGCGGGCAAAGTGACTGTTGGGGTTCCAAAGCTGAAGTACCTAAACAGTCCACCATTCCCGAACTGTGCACCATCCAGGCACCACCCAACCCTGCTTCCTCCAAACCCATTCGCCTTCAACCCGGGCAGGTTGGACTTTCAGCTTGGGTCAGACCTGCTCTTGTTCACAGTGATTAATAACACCTCAGCTGAATATAAGGAAGATCTTAAGTTATGCCTCCAAGAAAAAAGTGGCAGATGTTCTGCTGAAATGAATTATCACATGTTCTTTTTTTTTGTCTTGAAATATATATTCTGTCTCTCCTGTCCCAAGTCCAGCATACTACAATTCATACCGACTCTCTTCCCGAGCCCCGTCACTCCATGTTCATTTTCAGCTTCAAATTTATGTCCACTAGCCTGGAGTTGTGGTTTCTGTTCTATGTTCCTGCTATTGACAGACAGACCCATTAACTAGAGGATGGACTTTAAAGCTAAGAGCCAACAGAGCTCTTGCAACCAAACTATTCACAAGTACTTCGGACAGCGCTTCTCAGCAGCAGGTCTGCCGAGAGGCGGGGTCAGATAACTCTCTACGTACGGGCGGGGGCTCTGCATGCGTGGCAGGAGGTGCAGCAGCCTCTCTAGCTTCTGCTCACAGCATACCAGCAGCACACGCATCTCCCCAGCTCTGGCAACTAAAAATGTCTCCAAGCATCGCCAAATGTCCCCGGGAGCAAAGTCGCCCGAGTTGAGAACCACTGCTCTAGAAACATCTCCAGTGAGCAGTTCA